ACACGGAGGCCTGGTGTGCTGCAGTCCATGGGGTCGCAAAGAGTTGGCCACGACTGAGCAACTGAATTGAACTGATATCTGTATCTGGAGTGTGCACTTCACTCATTTGAAAAGACCCTGCTGCTGGGAAAGATTGAAGGCGGGAGGAGAAGGGGACGACAGAGGATGAGAAGGTTGGATGGCATCACCGACTTGATGGACCCATTTGAGTAAGCTCCAGGAGCTGATGATGGACACGGAGGCCTGGTGTGCTGCAGTCCATGGGGTCGCAAAGAGTTGGCCACGACTGAGCAACTGAATTGAACTGATACACTTCATGGTATACTTACCAAAGTATCTGTCCTACTATGGAAAGATGCCTATTTGCTGAATGACCAATTTGCAAAATTATTAAGAGGTTTTTTTTTTTTTTTAGCTTTTTTAAGAATTAGCTACACCTTTTTGTCAGTAATTGCTAGTTAGTCCAGCTTTGCTAAATATTAATTTCATTCTATTTTATATTTCAGAAATCAAGTACTTTGGTGCAAAAGTTTAGGGCTTTTGCTAAGCTTATTAGTTTACACTCTCTTCTATTTTTGAATATTTGTCAATTTTGGGTAAATTGCTTATTTAATAAACTTACCCAGAACTTCTATCAGTGTGGCACATTTTTAAGAGGATATTAATAAGCTGAAAGAAGTATGCTTCCTGCAAAGCAACACAGGATCCCTGCAATTCTGGGAACTATGCTGTATATTACAGTTAAAGGGCTCATTCCCAGGCAATTTTGGGTTCACCCAGATCTAAGAGCCCGAGTCTCCTTTATGAAAATAGAAATCATTGAAAACAATTGATGATATAAATATGAAGAATTAAAATACACTTATAGGTTCATAAGAACAAGATGAACTGCTAAATTGCTATGGGTTAAACACTAAATTAACACATAATTCAACATAATTCTGTGGTGTTGGAGAAGACTCTTGAGAGTCCCTTGGACTGCAAGGAGATTCAACCAGTCAACTCTAAAGGAAATCAGTCCTGAATATTCATTGGAAGGACTGATGCTGAAGCTGAAGCTCCAATACTTTGGCCATCTGATGTGAAGAACTGACTCATTAGAAAAGATGCTGATGCTGGGAAAGATTGAAGGCAGGAGGAGAAGGGGACTACAGAGGATGAGACGGTTGCATGGCATCACCGAGACTTGATGGACCTGAGTTTGAGCAAGCCCTGGGAGTTGGTGATGGACAGGGAGGCCTGGCATGCTGCAGTCCATGGGGTTTCAAAGAGTCAGACACGACTGAGCGACTGAACTGAACTGAAACGTTGAATAAAAAAACTGAAACAACTAAGTTTTCATTACATTAGTTTCTATATTCTGGATTAAAATGTAGAATCTAGCTTTTTAATGATAATAATTGTAATTTACTGAGCACCTATTACATGCCAGGCACTCAGTACTGATTATCTTTAATTCTAATAACAAGCCCGCAAGAGTTCCCCCCTTTTTAGAATCCTGAAAACTGAGATTGGACAGTTTAAACGAGTTACTCAGAATCACAAAGATAGTGTGTAGAAAACTTTTTTAAAAGCCCATTTTGGTAATTTTAATAAAGTGCCTTTCTTTCCTACTTTTAATTTACATCTAAAGAGTCTATATTTATATCAGTTCTATTACTAGCATTTAAATGAAATTAAAATATATTCATGTTACATATGGAATATATCTGCTTGAGAAATCAGAAAGGAAATAAAATAATACTCTATTCTTAGCTTACCCTCACATTTACCTATTATAATTTATTGTGTGTAAATTTATTATATAACAGGTTTGCTAAAGTACCATGAGTAGGATGTTAGGTTAAAAAGTAAAAGCATGTTTGTTATATTTTATACAACAGAAAATGGGTAAAATCTCTCCACATTTTTGTTTAAGATTTTGAATCTGAAGTTGATATGCATTTCTAAATGACTTTTAAACTTTATGCAGATCTCATAAGTGGCAGAATGTAAAAGTTTACTGTAAATTTCCATAAGTTCTGATGCTTTCAAAGTTATGGACATGGTACAACATTTCATTGTGACTTACAGTATAATGCTGCTATACTAAAAATTTCCTGTCACGTTGTTCTCTCCTGAAATACCTGAAGCATCTCAGTTTACGTGATGGAATAAAATATATGATGGAGGTGAGAACTGAATCTGCATTGTTCCATCTTTATAGTAAAAGGAACAGAATGAGGCCCAAATAGCGTGGGGGTACAAGTGTGTTTTCAATAATTATATATAATAGATTGTTTGAAATGCCTCCATTATGCCATTTATTTTTGTATCTCATCATCTGGGATACATAAAGTTTAGAGTTTTATGCAGATTTTCAGTTATCAAAGTACTTTTCAATTGCCACTGGGAACTAGATTTCAATCATGTGAGTTGATTCAACTGTGACATCATTTATCTAAAGGACATCCATTTTGAAAGAATTCACTTCCATGGGCTTTGATGCTGTTTCTCCCCTCCAGGCTGTTCTGCTGACAACCCCAAAGTGCCTTTCCCTCCAATGCCAAATTCTCCACTTGCGTCTGTCTTGTCTCCTCCTTCAGAGAACTCTGCTTCAAAAAGTGAACTCTCATATTATTGCTGTTGTGAAGACTTTCTCCCAAGCCCCTCGGCTGATACAGTTTCATTTTATGTAAAACTAAAAAGTCCTTTCCCAACTCCTCCTCTTCCTTCCCCTCCTCTCTCAACTTTCTAGAATAACAGTGTAGCTCTATCCCTTCATTTCTTGACATACTGTAACTGGGTTTCTATCTTCAATACCATATGGCTCTTGAAGACAATGACTTCCTGGCTGTCATGTCCTTGATCTGTTTTCAGTTCTACCCACAGGATATTCTCTCCTTAAAGCCTCTTCTTTGGTGGCATTTGTGTGTGTCTTGGTTTTACTAGCACTACTTAGACTGGTATTTTCTAAACGACTCTTTCCCTGGATCATCAGTTTTTTCCACCTCCCGACCTATTGCTATCCATACTTTTTATGATGAATGGTTCTCAACACTGGCTATGCATCAGAAATACCTGGGCACTTTAAAAATACTGTAGAGTTATTTGAGCTCTATTATACACTTCTGAGTCAGAGTTGAGCCCTGGAAAATGTGTTTTGTTAAAACCCTCTCTGCTGCTTATAGCTGCACATGACTATGGCGGCAGGTGTTTCTCTAGGCTGCCTTCCTTCATTACTTGCTTGCTTGGCGCTTCCATGGTGTTTCGGCTTTACTTATTATCATTCTGCTAAGGTACTTGTTAAACAGTTCGAAAAAAAAATAAAAATAAAAAGAGCTCCAAAAAAAAGAAAAAAAAATCATTTCATGGCGAAGTGTGAGAAATATTAAACAACAGAGAAGATTATTTTGCTTAAGGGCTTCTCAAAGTTGTATGTACATGTTTTTTTATGACACTTAAGGCCCTTTTTACTCCATCAGAAAGTGTTGTCTGCATCCAACTTGATCGCCTGCCTCCTATAATCCACTATAAATATCACGACCATATTATCAGTTTAAGGCACAGCTCTACTCTTGACATTTCCTTTCTCAAAAATTGTCAGTTACCTGTGGCTCAGAGCCAAGTTTAAATTCTCTAGCTTGGTATTTGAGGTTTTGGAAAATCTAACTTGAACATTTTTAACTTGCTTTTTACCTTTCATTAGATGATGAAAAAATGTATAGACTCTGAAATCAGACATATTTGGAGGTGAATTATGTTTTACCTGGGGCAAATTTGCTTATAAATGAAAGATAACCTTTCCCTTTCCATCAAGTGGAAGCAATATTATTTTGAGGATTATAAGTTAGTCCTTCTCATACCCTATGCAGAAATACTTGCTAACACCTAAAAAACAGTGGTTCTCAAATTTCAGTAGGCACCATTATCAGTGGGGGTATTTGTTAGAAAAGGAGATGGCTGGGCTATACCTTGATCTAGACTTGGTAGGTCTATGTGTGGACTTGGTAGTTTCTAGAACTACACTGTCTAATATGTAGATACAGGCTACAAATTAAGCATTTGTAGTATGGTTAATCTGAACTGAGATGTGCTATAAGTGTAAGATACCCAATTTTAATACTTAATATGAAAGAAATAATGCCAAAATATTTCTAACAATTTTTTTATTGGACATACATTGAAATAATAATATTTTATCTATATTAGCCTAGCTAAAATGTTTTTCATATTAATTTCACTTGTTTAATTTTTTATCGTGCCATTGAACAGCACTGCTCTAGAATATACACAAGTAAGCACAAGTTCCCCCAATGATTCTTTGGTAGTTATCCTCAGATCACTTTGAGAAACAGTATATGAAATGTTAAGCTTTCTGAAAGAAGAACCGATACCTTATATATCTTTATATCCCCACAGTATTCTGAACATCAAGGGCAGTTAACTATATACAAATTGAATTTACACTCACTTTACATTTTAAGCCATCAAAATCCTAAAAAATTATTTTTGAATTACATTTCTTAAGTGGAACAATAACAACAACAACAACAGAAAACAAGCACCTGAAATTATGGCTTTGTTCCCAAATTAAAAAAAAAATCTTCTCAAAGAACTGGGATTTTATCCTATGGTTATTTGACTTTGTATAGAAATAGGCCATTTATCCCTCTAGGTTCCAAAACTGTTCAATATGATCATATTCAAGTTCTTCAATTAAAACTAATATTTAACTTTATACTGGGATATGTGCTAATTTTTATACCATAGTAAAGTTAGCCAGATGAGTGGGGGAAAACATATCTGGGGAAAAGGAGGTCTTTTATTTAGGGACAAATGAGGTTGAGAATGGCTGACCATTCTGGAAGGAAGAGCGAGAACTAAGAAAGACACGATTAGAAATATGGAAGCTAATGCTGGGATGAAGAACAACTTTGATATTAAGACAAATGGTCACAAAATTAGAAATATGTTTTAAAGATTGTTTAGTAATAATGAGTGAAGATTTCCCCACTTACCTCATTGCCACATTGCTGCCATCGATAACTATTGGTCTCAGATTTTCCCCATCATCTGTTATAATCTCTTGCATTGGAGATTCAGACCGCTGAGATTCCAGGGAAGACGTTTCCCGCATTATAATGTTAAGTGTACTAACTGTTTGTTCAGCCTCACTTTTATTTCCAAGTTTGACAAGTTCTCCCAGAATATCATTGATTAAAGCATCAGTACCAAGTTTGTTTAGCACAAGTTGAACCTGTTCTTCAGAATAACCTAGCTTCAGTGCAAACTCCAGTTTTGTTTGGTATTCTCGCACCACATCAGGGGGTTTTTTCATTTCCTTGGATGGCTGGGACTCTTCAGGTTTAAAGTCTTGCAAAATTTCACTGCATTTGAGTATGTGAGGCTCTAAACAGGGAGACCTACATAGCTGTCTGTGAGTCTTGGTTAATAAGCATGGCTCTACTGAGATGCTACTCAATTGTTCTGACTCATTATCAGAATTTGTGCTTTCTTCAGAGTCACCAGAGCTCGCATTCTCTTCAGACATCTCTTTTTCTTCCTTCCCGGAATTAACTTTATCCATTGTTGGTTTTTCTACCATTGACCAAGGTACAGATGTACTTAAATGTGGGTCAGTGCTCTCCACATAAAGGTGGCCTGGGTCATGCCCCAGATGATCCTTCAAGCCCATGAAGCTGTTATGTGTACTTGACTCCACTTTGCTGTTTTTTCTGTATTCTTGAATGCAAAGCACCCCGTATTCCTAGAGAAAAATGTAGAATATTTAGTATTTCATATTTACTGGTTCATTTCTGGTTCAATAAAGAAGTTGCGAGAGAGTTATCAAACTACTGGATATCAACTTTGTTTTGTCTACATCCTCTCATCATTCATAACACCCTTCCAAGATAGTATCATGTCTTTTTCAGACAATGAAGTTAGGAATTAGAAAGGCTAAGTATTCCCTACAAGGCAGCAAAGTAAATAAGTAGAGGAACTGGATTTTTTTTACCCAGTTTTTCTGGTTTCCAAACCCATGCTTTCACCACAGTATCATGCTGCTTCTCAATCGAGATGGGAGAGATTTTCCCAGAGTTAGAAAGGCCTGTTTCTACAGTGACACACAGAATATTTAAAAAAAAAAAAGCATGTTTTAGATGTGCTATGACACGTTATATACATTTTTTCTAAAAGAATCCATAAAAATTTGCAAAAATTCTTTTAAAGAGAAAGCCATGAGAAAAGGAAAACATTAACTTACTATAATTTAAAAGTTGTTTATTTGGATTAATCTAAAGACTTTCAAAAATAATTTAGGTATTGTAATGAAAGAGCACAGATTCTACAAGAGCCAACAAGGAATGAAATAATTACAGAGTGAAACATGTAAATCCATGGCTGATTCATGTCAATGTATGGCAAAAACCACTACAATATTGTAAAGTAATTAGCCTCCAACTAATAAAAATAAATGAAAAAGAAAAAGAAAAATAGTAAAAAAAAAAAAAAAAGTGAATTATATTCCACTTAAGAAGTAATAGTTTTGCCCTAATAATCTTAATTTTGCAAATCCTGAACACAGTAACAGAATACAACTCTCAACACTGTGCTACCCTTAAGTGTCAAAGACTAGTTTCTTTCATTCCAAGGGGAAAAGCTCTTATTCTAGCACAATTATAGAAAGTATAGGAATATATTTCATTAGCAGCAGATAATTAAGTACATTGAATAAGTGAATAGAGTTTATTCAAAATAAAATTGACTGTTATCTTAATTTCTTGAATTTTATGGCAGAAAATACTTCTGTATCACATTAGATAATTGCCTAACTGCTATCTGCATTTGGTTAAAGTCACCTTTTCTCCTACTTTCCCCATGCAGGAATGCTTTTATGTTTAAAATGCTTTTGCCATTTTACTAGTTTCTTTAGAATCAACTGAGATTAATAATTATTTCTCTACCAGGAACAGGTTAGCAAAATAAAATTATTTTCTCTTGTGCTTCATTGTAGGGGCTATATGCACATCAGTAGTTTACTTATTAAGGCAATTTCAGTGTTCTATCCATGATTAACATTAGTAAGCCAATGGCAGCTGAATTTGAGACTGTCATAAAACACCTATTTAAATAACCTAAAAAAGAAAATTGGAAAAACATTTTATTCTACAGTTCCTCAACATCTTATTTACAGTAGAAAGGAGCTATTATATAAATGCTAAGAGAAAATGCTAAGTGATTTTCTAAGAAGCTGCACATTTGAATGCATTTGGTGAACTTATTACAGAGTGAAGTATTTCTACATAATAAAATAAATTATATTACCTATGGTAAATACTAGAGAAGAGACCATGGAATCTTTAGCTTGATAACAGTACACTTAAAATCCCTCCAGTGTAGAACTCCTACACATTTCCACAGGAGTTTCTTCAGGTTTTATCCCTTGAGAAGACAGATAACTTGAACATCATTGTTCTAATATGGCATTCATTAGTTTTTAAAGAAACATCACCCTCTTTGCTTCTGATTGCACAAATGATAAAAAAAAGAAATTTTCCTTGGGAGACCTTTATATACATCTGCTCTATTATGAAGCTGTATCCATTTCAATTTTTTTCTATTAATATGGATGTGCATGAGCCCAATTATTAGAATTAAAGGAAGGGATTTTGAAAGCAAATCTTTATACTCAGTGATTTATTAACTACTGTAATATACTGACACCATAATGCAAGCAACAAATCACAACAGCATTCTAATAAAGGGATACAGTTAAAAAGAAAAATCTGTATTGTGGCCTTGGTAGAGCTTCCACCAAAAGTATCTTAAACAAGGAAAACCTATTGGAAGCTGGGCTGCCTGGCAACCAGAGCTGGTTGCTAAGCGGCACTCTTTTAACATGCCATCATGAATGCTAGCACAGTGAAAGAATAATTTGGTATGAACAAAAGCCTATAAAAGAGACTGGGACTTAAGTGCGTCTGGTTTACCCTCTGAGAACAATGCAGCTGCCAAACCAATCTGGAAGCTCCGACATCATTGTTCTGTAAACCTCACAATCTGCTCTGACTGCAGGAAGTGTATTTAATGGGCAACATTTTTGATCTCCCCTAAAAAGTTTGGATTTTGCATAAGTGCTGTTGTGAGATAATTCTTCAAGATAATGATTCACCGACCAAATCCCTGAATTGAACTAGGAAATATTATTTTAATATTGAGCTGTAATGTTTTTCTTTTGGACTATTTTAAACAAAATGAACACTTTATGGAAAATACAGTCAGGGGGAACATTACAATGAAATGTTATGTTTAAAGAATTTTCACATTTGTCACAGAAGTAAAACCAGATATTAAAAAGTTTTTAAACTGAAAATTAACCAGCCTAAAAATGTATTTAAATCTTTTCTGTTATCACTTTGTCTCATACTGAAAGTGTTGGTAACACTATGTAAATTTGCTCTGCTGTGTAATTTTATTATAGGACTATAATGATTAGATAGGGATAAAATGGTATTATCAGTTGTTTTCTTCTTATAATATTAAGCTAGATAAAACTCACTTGTACTGAGGGAATACCACACCTTTAGGTTGTGATAATTCACATAATTTATATATACTATGAAACTAAGATGTTTCCAAGTAAGCTAACATGATTTTTAATATTAGGTATAAGTGTAAGCTTGATTTACATTACTTCAAAAAATTTACACCTAATTTTGTTACGCAAAATAACTTTTCTTTTAAAATATTCTGGCTGAACTTTTTTTCACACTGACAGGCCTCTCTTCATCTTCCAGATTTCATTGGTTACCTCAAAGAAAGTTATCCAATGTCATCTTGTACTAAGCAAGCAGTTAAATAATTTTTAGTTCCTATAAATCAACAGACTAAATATGAAATAGTACATATAAAGACAAGTTAAATTACCAGACCTATAAGATGCATATATTTTCTCCATTAAATAATATAAATTTGAAATAACTTATTTTTATTGACCCAAATGGTAAAGATTTGGTTTTTAAAACTTTAATCTCGAAAATGCTTTCTTATTCACTTGTAATTAGTAAAAGATTGCCCTGAATGAATATGGCACTAAGAAAAATTGGCAATAATCCAGTCAAGAAAAAAATTAAATGCTATTCTTAAAAACCAACAAAAATAGTTTCATAGACTGTGGTACCTCTTAATGTAATGCAATGTGCAAAACTTTACAAGGAATTTTTATTATAAGACATCTTAGAACAAAGAATGGTATATGATCTTAATTTTTGTTCAGTGCCTTAAAAATGACCAATATAATTTTGAAAATGATTAGCAAAGACTCCAAAAACATCACAAAATTTACTATTACATGCAAGGAAGAAAACATTTTTCTCCTTAAGTTTTAAACCATGAACTTTTAAGTTTTGCCATTTACTGAAATGCAAACACATACAAATCATCTTTAATCATCTATTAACAAGAGTCAGTCAGTTCAGTTTAGTTGTGTCTGACTCTTTGCAACCCATGAACTGCAGCACGCCAGGCCTCCCTGTCCATCACCAACTCCCAGAGTCCACCCAAACCCATGTCCATCGAGTCAGTGATGCCATCCAGCCATCTCATCCTCTGTTGTCCCCTTCTCCTCCTGCCCCCAATCCTTTCCCTCATTTCATGAAGCAGCAGCCTAGACAGTCTCATACACAAAGTAGGTCAGTGTTTATATTCCCACAGTTATCCCAAAACTCCAAGAATACAGCTTAACTTTTAGGCTCTATATCAGAGACCCATTATAATTGGACTTTATATACTATATTCATGAACACAAAAGGTACTGAGGAAACATTTAATGGTCTAAAAACAGATTTCTGCACTTACAGAACTTTAGATTTCCTTCAAATGTTGTATTGGAAATGAACAATTTTTCTTGCTGAAGGCCTAGTAAGTTAAAAAATAAAATAATATTATATGTTGAGAAAAAAACTAAAATGTCATGCTAATTTTGTTGATGATAAAGTATAAATAACTATTTTAATTGCCAAAAAGAAGTTTTATACTAGCTGAAAGCAGATTTATGATATAACGGCTATTTACTAAAAATCTGCTGCATACACAAAGATTCCCCCATTTAGTGAGTTTTCCTTAAAGTTCTCATTAGATAACTTAGATAAGCCTTTACCTCAAATCCAGTAAAATTTTTTTTTATATTCTAAAGAGCATCATATTAATCAGGAATATTAGACCATAAACTTGTTAAATCAAATTGTTTGTAACATCGAGTTACAATGCCATAAAGTGGGATCTGGTTGTTATCGAAATGGTAATAGTAGGAGAACAATGAAAATAAAATAATGAATATGTAATAAATACCTACTGCTGTAGTCTCTGTGTATTTAATTACCATTGTATTTCAGTGAGTGCTGTTGTCTGCATCCCTCTAGCTAACAAAAGAAGGATGTCCCTTTGAACAGATTGGTTAATGCTCTGGGGCAACAGATGTCTACTGGGACTGCAGGAGACCAGCAACTGGTGGCCTGCCCATCTTCCGAAAACTTTCAATAGACTTACGCATATGCTCACACAATAGGGCATGTGGTAGAAACGAAAACCTCTTTTTAACCCTTTATGCTCTTTCTTTTCCTCCCAACTGATAGATGAAAGTCTTTGTCTCCTCCCTTCCCCATTACAGATCTCTTGAAAGCAACAGTTCTCTAAGTGACATATTCAATCTCATATCTAAAACTAATGCAAGCAAAAAAAAAAAAAAATTAAAAAGGTGGGAAGAAACTCATGAAACTATACATGAGTACTGAAACTGCTGACAAAGCAAATGAATGCTTAATCATCATAATTAAAACAAGATGAAACATCTAATAGTAATCCATCTCCCCAAGCTAGATTTTTAAGACAATGGAAAAATCTATCAAATCTTACTATCATTTTGCAGCATCTAGGTCTGACAGTGACACCTTAAGGAAACTAGGAATGTGACAAGAAGAGAAAATCTAAAATCACTGTTTATCAAAATACCATAACATTTTAACTTATCTTTAAGTACAAATGCTTGCTTACATGCCTACTGTCTTGCAAATGTTTATGAAACTGTAAGTAATCATTTATATAACTGCAGAATATAAAAATGTAAAAAGTCTGCTTCACAGACATGTTTTACAGAAAGAATTAAATTTTCTGGTATTTTGGCACTATGTAACAATTTGTAGCCTTTCATCTGTGGTGCATTCTGTCCTTAACAGAGTTCAAAGTAATATTCTGAATATTTAGCAAAGTTTAACTTCCAAGGCATTAAGTAGCCCATATACTCACGTTCACAGGAAAATACAAAGACATTGGTTTCTGTAGCAGCTTCAGGAGTAACTCCTTAACACAATTTTAGCTGCAGACTTCCAGGCAGGCAAGAAGAACAATGAATGAGTGAACAGATGGAATGGCAATGTCTTTGCTTAACCTATTACCGAGTGGAATACCAGCCAATCGCAGGCCAGAAAGCTCACAATTAGTCGGCCAGGCAGATGCAAGCCAACCTCAGCACCCTGCGTCAGGTTCGCAGGTTTCTAAGATAAGCAAGTTGATGTCATTCTTGGGTCTGCCCCGGGCAGCCTGTGTATTAACGAGGGGGTGTGCGGCAACAATAGGCCATACAAAGCTGACGAGCAGGCAGCTGCTCTCTGAGAGCCGTCATTAGCAAGCAGGCTGCCAACAAGAGACACCTGGCTTGGGCAGACCAGCTTTTCCTCCTTGTTTTTAAACAAAACAAAGAAAACAATTATATTTTAAAGTAGTAAAAGTTGCCTGTTTCCTAAAAGTTGAGGCTATCCTCTAGTCTTTTCATTTTTTGGTTCTGAGAAAAAAAAAAGAAAATGAGGTGTGTCCAAGTAGTGATTAACTACTGCAGTAACCCCTTTTCTTTAAGAATGATTTACAGCGGAAATGAGACAGAGGTTAGAGTAGAACTACTTCCCAGGAAATACTAGGAAATATAAAATCTTGTAAGTATTGGTTGATTTGTTGCAAGACAATAAAACAAACATGATGAAAGTAAGATTGCAAAAGAAAAAGGTTTAAGAGCTTATAGACAGAACTGATTTTTAAAAGTTCATTAGAAGTACAGTGTAGTAAGATAAAGCAAGTCTGGTCCAACTTTGTGCCAAGTGAGTCATCTAAACTGAATATTTAGACAAAACAATTTAATTTCAATCTAAAACCACCAAAATAACCTACTTTATATCAAATAGTGTAAAATTATTTTGTTATCAAAACTAATCATGTAATTAAAGAAAAATCTTTCATTATGTTTTAATATACAACATGATGTTATGTGTTGTATTTGTATTTCATAAAATTTGTAAGACGTACAAACTTCAGTTCAGGAACAAGTTACAAAGAAGTTATTTACAAAGAAGAAACACTGTAATATTTCTAAATGGGACCAAGTATACAAAAATCATCCCTGTCAGTGAGGAAGCTTGTTATCCTGATTTATTTCAAAGATAGCCAGACTCTTTTTTTAAATGTTATGGACTATCTGCTTTTGAGAGCTGCATAAATTATATCTTGAGTGGTCTCTGATTATGAAAATTCAATTAAAATTTAAACACCATCAGGTGTTGTGATAATATTTCCCTACTAAACAATATCTAGAGCTGCTCTACTACTTGCTTATGTGATGCAGAACACACACACACACACACACACACACACACACACACACACACCCTCTTTTATTCCAGTGCAAATTAGAAGAATGAAGGCAGAAAGCTCCTCTTAAAATACAATTTTCTGATATAAGCTCATTTAAGCAGAGGTTAGGCTTTCCCATTATATAATCAAGCACTCTACAGGTATAAAATTTGGCTAAAGCACCCCAAACAATCCAAATCAATCTGTCTTTTCACACACAAATACAGACACTACTCACAAGACCAGCTGAGAAAACTTAGAAAAAAGTTAATATTGGCTGGCACTCTTGGGCTTGTCTTTACTGTGCTCAGTCAAATGTAAGTCAGATAGATGCTTTCTGTTTACAAAATAAGAGGAAAATACACTCTATACGGTTAAAATTTTTCAGTTACCTCACCGAAAACATTCCGTATGCCTATTCAAAGCCTAAAAATTATTGGTATTTCCAGAAAGAAAACTAAAATATGAAGTATGGTGTTTGTAGGTCATTGTTTGTCTATAGACATTGTTCCTCAAAAAGAACTTAATATTCCATGGAAGTATGTCATTCCAAAAATGTTAGAAAATTTTTAAATTTGTGGAAATATTTTTAAACTAAATGTAATGATTAGATTTTAATTTCCTTTAATTTCTAAAGGAAGAACTATTCTTTTTCTACCAAGGATTACAGCAATGTTTTTGCAACCGTTACACCCATGGCCTAATTTCATACAGCCACTAGAGATCAATATAAAGCATTTCTAATATTACAGTTTATTGCAAATTATGAAGTGAATTTCATAGAGTTCAAATTTTATGTCTTGGGTAAGCATATGAACATCACAGGAATCAAAAAAGTTAGAATTTCATCTTTTTTTGGTGATGTGGTGGTACTTTTTAAAAAAAATCTCATGAATAAAAGATAAGAAAGATAAATCAAGGCCACGAGTATGGTTAGTAAATAGACTTTTGGTAAAACTGAATTTGATTAAACAAGATGAAGATAAAAAATATAACATATATTCATGCAAGTTGTTAACGACTAAAACCAAATAAAACTCTACAGTCAGCTATGTACTGACTAGAGATAGTGAGGTCAATATTTATGAATTTACACTGAACCCTTTTCCCTTCTGTATATAAAAAAGACACTCTTTAGTATGAACAGACCGTCCCTCTTTCCCCTGGACTTTCTTTCTTCTCTTTTTCCCCATTGCTACTATAGTTACTACTTTATAGCTTTAATTCAGGAGGAGGAGGGATCTTCTCACTAATTCCTGCCAGTGTGAACACAAAGAATGAGAGAAAACTACCCACAAGCTCAGCGGGAAGCCTGATCCCTAGCACTGGATTAAGCTTTTTTTGCAAACAGCAAATAAAGGCAGTGATCTGAAAAAGCTAATCAGATCCTGCTGTGGTATTTAGACTATGTTGGTTGCTAGTATTGGATAACTTGATAAGCACATTAAAACATCTGTAGGTGAAAAGAGGCCCTCCCCTGCCTTTTTTAGTCACATGGCCCCGGTCCACTCCCAGTTGCAGAGAAAATGCAAACAGCTGTACTAGGCTGCCCGGATCGCAGTGATTGACAGTGTGGCTTCAGCAATAATACTAAATTCTGTCAGTGTCAGAGGCTTTTCTAACATTTGAAAATTCAACTGTTTGCTGAGGTATGAATGTGAAACACATGGGTTGTCACGCTGGTGTTGGCATCAATTCTGTTTGTCAGGGGTGATCCAAACGGGCTTCCTGGTACCTTTCTCCTACTATGGATTTGTTCTCCTTCAATCTACAATCTCTTCTGATCCTCACAACACCACCATCAAAATAAGATTATTAATTCAAATCTTCCCAATTGCCCCCAGAAGTTTGAAAGATTAAATTTAACAAAAAACTCTTATCAATCTGATTAAACAACAACAAGAAGCAACTAAGCAAAAACCTAACTTCTGTACCTGGTGTAAAAGAATCAGGGACTACTCTCTAACCTATGAGAGTTCTTATATGTGTAGTAAGTCAGACGAGCATGAGAGACCCTTACTATATTTCATTTCCTTAGGCTTAGATTACTTTTGTTTCTTAATTTATCTCCTTCCTTCAATACTCCCTAAATACATCCCTGCCAAAGTAATTTTCACTGACACCACTCTTAGGTTTAAAAAAAAAAAATCTCAGCAGTAGATCACAGCACTCGTCCTCTGCGGTGTTCTCAAGATTCCCCTTACAGTGGGGGCTCCTCTAAGCCCTGTCATCTTATTTCCCACTTCAATCAGGTGAAGCCACAGATGCTGAAACAACGGCTCCTTCACGCCCGTTCTCTTGCATAGCCTCACTTACCCAGATCATATTTGTTATTCTAATTTCAGCTCAAGGCTTACTTTTCCATAAAATCTTCTTGGACCAGTCCTGTTTTTACTAATTTCTATAACATGAGCAGTCTGTACTGCACAATATAGCATTTACTTATGAACCAGGCTGTAAGCTCCTTGAGGGCAGATCCATTTAATCTTCCATAATCCATACAGAGAAAAACCCTATATGGTACCCAGCAGTGTGGTGCTCTCTAGAAGACATCTGACTGAAAAATAGGGCC